TTATTCCGGGGGGAAGAGAGAGGGGGGGGGGGCGGGCTTCTTCCTTATGAAGGCCGTTAAGAGGGAACTTCTTACTCTCTCGGAGGTTTAGCGGAGGTAAGCTTCGGAAAATTCCTCGTGCTTCTTCGCGCGCGAGATATCGTAGAGACCGGGGAAAAAACTCGAGAGCTTCTCACGATCATCGTGTGACGTAGAATTAATTTCGGCGGGGTGAGGAGCATTGTCGCATGCGGTAAAACGGTAAGGTTAACTGGCCGGGAAAATTTGCACCGGGAGAAAAATAGTTCGGCTGTTGCAGCGAGATCGTCATTGTGTATTCCGCCTATGTTCGTTGCGACGGTGATCGAATTCGGCCGGCGTAATTAACGAATTATTCGCAACTGGCGAGGAAACAGTTCTTGTTGCCGAGATAGGAAATATTCCGCTGAGTGAATTCGTCCGTGGGACACGTTAGTTTGCCGTTAGAACAGTCCTAATTTCGGTATGATCAGCCGCAGGAAGGTTGTAGCACATTTTATCCGACGAATTTCGGAACGCGTCATCCAATCGCGTTTACAATAAGAGAGATTTGTTTTTCGCTCTTTTTCAGGAGATACTTTTTCATACCGGATACGAGATGCATCGCGAAACTCGTCGGGAAAGGGTGTTGCAACCTTTTTGTGCGACTAACACATACATTCTCGTGGATTTATCAAGAATCTAAAAGAATGCTCCAGTCAGCGATAATCACTGAGCGCTCACCGAGCTTCTTTCAGAGAAAGAACTCACGCAGCTCAGGCTGGTGTTAATTGCAAGAGATAATTACGGCTTCTGTTCCATCGGGCGCATCGATTCGCGCATTGATCGCGGAACTTTTGACAGCGCGTATCGAACGGTGCCGCGATTACCATAAAAATGTTCCGCATTCGTCGAAAATGGCGGAAATAACAGCCAGTTGGCCATCTTTGGCGAATTTTGGCGAATTTTGGCGCCCGGGACTTTTCACATGACGAAAAATCCGTGATTCCCCGTGCTGGGCGCGTCCGTCCCATTTTCGGCAACGCGGCTGAATATGCATGATCGCGCGAGAAGGTCCGGCAAAAACCAAATCTGTCCACACCTTTTCGAATTCCGTCGCGGCTCCGCGCTGGTAATAATTCAACTCGCTCCTCGCCTCTTAACGCGTCGCGTGTGACATCCCCGTCGAATTTGCGTGCGCGACACCCGTGTGTGACACTCTTCTCTCTCTCGTTCCGCCGTCACGTTGGTAATTAAGAAAATTCGTGAAACTCGCGGGAGACTAACGAGCGCGAGAAAGGTATTTTGCTCTAATGAAATTTCACATTTCACTCCGCGCCGCCTACGGAAAACCGGCGACTTTTTCGCGGCACACCTGCCGTTTTTTTCGGGCTGATCCTGCTTTCTCGCGTGTCGTTGATATTTCCCGGCTTTCACCTCGCGTAGCGCACGCGGAATTACGCGGCCGGCGATCAACGTGTTTTTTCCTTACGTAAATCTTATACGGACTCGTTTACGGGGAAAAGCAGTGTCGGTGGTTATCTCGATTTTTCTGCCGCACGACTCCCGCTAATTTATTTATTCATGAGCGCCGGAAACCCCCCAACGCGGGCGAATTGGTGCGCGGCGGAATTCATAATTAGCGGAATTTTTACATATCGCGCATGCGCGCGCTAGGAAAACGGGAAAAATTAATGCACCCCGAGTCCGCCCGTTCGTTCCTCATCGACGATTGACTATTCACGCCACGTAGCTGCTTAATAAAAGCACGCGGATTTCCTTACTGTAACGTCACCGGCAGAAGCGCGTACGTGCGTGGAATTCCCCCCTCCACCCTCTTTCCCCGGTCTTTCGCGCTTAGGAGTTTCCTCTCTCGCTGTAGCGGCGGTCTCGCAAGTCTCAACGGGTATAACGCCCGGTGATTAATTTAATGACGCGAATATTTTAACGAGATCCCGCCGGGTCGACGTTCGACCGGGGCCGCGCGAGTTCCACGCGGAATTCAAGAGAGAAGAACCGCTTATTGTTGAGAAAATGGAGAAAATTCCGGGGAATCGAGGGAGAATCGGCCGGGCGAGAACGGGTTTTCGCTGTCACACACGCGTGCCCCGAATACTCGACGCGTATTCCTCATCTCCCGGCGCGCGTATATACTCCTTCTGCGGGGGGTGCGCGCGCTATTCTTTCGGGAAAACCGGAGAGCCGCCTCCGCCGCGGAACGCTCCTCGAGAATAGCCCCGTATTTTCGTGCGCTCTTCGCGCACATTCTCTCTCTCACACACACACTCTCTCTTTCTTTCTCTCTCTCTCTCTCTCTTACACTCTCTTTCTCGTCGCAGTCTGCATTCGGGCGCGGCATAATTCCCGAGGAATCTTGGCGCTCCATAAACGCCAGCGACGCTTTTACGCCGCGCTCGGCAGATTCGCGGCCTCGTAAAAAAGGAACCCAAAGACGGCCCCTCGAATCGGACGTCGAGGGTGCGTTTATCGTCGCGGCACGCACGCACGTACGTATGTCGGCGCTCAGGAAGGCCTGTTATACGATGAGTCGCATTTCGGATTCGGAACGCAGCCGGTGATCCAATAATGAGAGAATTTATTCTTCGAGAAACGAGCTCTCCTAATTGGACCATCGGCCGCGTTCTCGAAAACTATATTCTTCCATTGGACATCGAACTCTGACGAACGGCGTGTTGTAGAACAGGCCTTAGGCCTATGGCACACGTGAAAGTATAAGGCAGTAAGACCTGAGCAGCGAGCAAATTGATCAGTCGCAGTCAAAATTATTCTTCGATCGTGAGAAGCGTAGTTGACTGTGATTGGTCGGCTTCCTTGCCGCTTCGGTCTTACTTACGATTTTGTACGCGCCGTAAGTTTTAAGGACTATCTACAATAGCTATAAAATATAGTAAGACGTATGCAGTAAGCTAAATGACCGATTGGATTCTTAAAGGCCGCCTGCAACAGCCGTAAAGTATGCAGTAAGACGCAAGTTAACTGGCCAATCGGATTCTTACAGTCCTGGAACAATCGACCGTGATTGGTCAATTAATTCGCTACTTACTGCACGATTTACGGTCATTACTCCTCTTTACGGTCCACGAATAATCAGCCTACCGCTTACATCTTACCGTATACTTTACGGCGCTTGCGGATGGTCTTTCACCGGTCCGGCGTATCTCCGCGGATACTCCAGGTCGCGTCTGAAAATCCGCGCGATGCGTCGCGCTCCGGGATTATCTTATCAGAGGTGGCTCGCGGCTCTCGAGGCCGCCTGGCGAGCTGCCGAGATTTTTCGCGGATATTTTTGTCGCGCGCCATCGCCGCCACCAGCGGCCTGCGCGCCTCCCCAGTGCGAAGATTTCGCGGGACGAGCGGCGCGATTATCTCGCCTGAGGGACACGTACGTGGGGAGCTTCGCTCGTAGGGGGAGACTCGCGATTCCGAGCGGAAAAACGACGGAGCTTGACGGAGAGAGCGAGGCACGCGCGCGTCCGACGAGATCGCGCGCACTTTCACTGGGCCCGCTGCGAAGCGCACGCACGTGTTTCTCGCCGGTGGTTTCGCGCGCGCGGAGCCAAACGCCGAGCGAACGAGAGCGTACGAGTCTACCCGCTCCGCGATGCGTCGCGCGCGGACTCCGACCGCCGACTGACTACCGCTGCTGGCCGCAGTCTGCCCCAGTCGGCCATTTCTACTTCGCGCGCGCCTCTTCTGGCGCCGTCGCTCCGATTGCCGACCCATTATCCTCCCCCGAGGTCGCACTTTTGGCGGAACCCGCGCGAAAGTCGCCCCGAAAGAAAGCGCTCGTAATAATCGTCGCTTCCCCTCTCTCGCCGGTTACGCTCGAGCGTGTCGTCCCGACGTGTCACGCGCGAGGCAAATAGGTGCAACAGCCTTTTTTTCCTTTCTTTTTTCCCCCCCATGAGCTTGGCAACGTGTCTGATAGGAGAATGTTTATCTCTCGAGAATTGTTAAGAAATATATTCTGTCTCGGACGTGGAATGCGTTGCGAAACTTATCGGACAAATAGTGCTCCAATTGTTTATCCGCCGACTGTGCGCGAGATGCAAAGTGAAATTGTCTGTGGAGTGATTGGCATTTCGCGAATCGTCTGGGAATTGGCTGCGTTTAGCGTCAACAAAGCGGTCAGTGATTATTGGTCTTTACCGTCCCTAAATTTAAACCAATTACCAATTGATGAAACCAATTGATGAAAGTTGATGAATTATTCGACCGTTGTCAAATCCGTTGTGTTTTCTAAACGTAGTCATTATGATCAATAATCAGTGACCGCTCATTGATAGCTTAGTCAAGCGATAAACGCAGCCAATTCTTAGATGATTTTGTGGCTACAACAATGTTTTTTGCAGTTGAAGTGCCAAAAGAATGCAGTGCCGAATGCATTTCACTGATAGTGAGATTGTTCACTACTATTTTCTGATATGATATTTAAATCATTTTGCAATGTTACGTGGTTTACATTACATTTATAATTACGATTACCTTTGTAATTACATTTATAATTGTAATGTAATTAACGTAATTATGTTACATGGTGTTGATACATAGATGACGATTCTTTAAAATTACAATTGAGCGAAAAAATCTTTCTTCATTAAATTATTAAAAATGAATAAAACTGAAGAATTAATTTATACATCTAATATTTCACAATACATTAGAATGTGGTGTATGTGAAAAGTATAATTATAAACACAAATGTTTGATATAATGTCCGTTCGTTTAGCTGTGATATAGGATAATATATTCTCTCCTTTTTATTACTCATTTTCTTTAACGTCATAGTGAGAGAAACAAAAAGATCAGACCTTATCGCTGTGCAAAATTCAAGCTCTTACATTTTAACGTTATCGCAGATGAATCATGAAGCCAAAATTATCAGTAGGCGGGCATTAACGACGAAAGCTTTAATTACAAGGGAATGTCAATTTCATGGCGATGGGAGCGAAATTAATAACTCGTTATTAACTTGTTCCCCCCTCAATTATTGCAAACTTCGGCAGATTACTACGGCTATATTATGATAATTGTTAGCCGCAACTTTTTGATGAAAGTTTGCGGTTTAATTAACTTGCGGAAAATGGAACTTTGTTATTCGCGAAAAGAAGTTGAATCTTAACCGATCCACGAAGGGCAAATTTAAATATTATTCCAGTATCCTTCTCTCTCACGAAATTCTTAAAAATATTCGTGGTTTCGCTAAAAAACCAAAGAAAGATTCGAGTCTATCGATTCCAGGCGTATGATGGGCAGCAAAAAACATACATGTATTAATTGCGAGATAAATTGACCCTTCGTTGGTACATTAATTTTTTGTTGTTTAATTTGGCACTTGATTTTTGAGACCCAGTAACATTTGATATATCTTTATTTACATATTTATAAATGTACTTACGTATCCCCAGTATACATATATTATATTTTTGATTATACACAGTCAGTAAAGGTTGTCCTTTTCTTTGATTTTTTCGATTGGTATTTTTCATAACGCATCCCGTATCTAATAGGAATTTGTTTGTTAGCAACTCCTCAAAGATACATTTTCCTATTGGATGCGTTGCGAAACTTATCGAAAAAAAAAATATTTTGCAACTTTTAATCTGCCGGCTGTGTATATCACAAAAGAGGTGAATCGGAAAAAACTTGTAGCCGTCATTATTTATAAAATATTATAGATGATTTAATGTTTAAGAGAAGATATTATATGTTGATTCTACAGGAGAAGAAGTGAGAAGATTTTACATATTTCAAGAAAATAATTCTATGTTCACACTCATGTCTTAAAAGCAAGGACTTTAATTCTTTGCTTGTGCTACGCAACTTGATCGATGAGTGCCAAACTACGGTTAACTGCGTCGTCTGTCATATTTTGTCGTCAGAAAAGTAGTTTTGTCGTTGAAAAATAGCTCTCGATCGTGTAAAGACTTGTTGGACGGGTTGGACGGGAGTTCATGTCCACGGCGGTTAAGGTATAGTAATCTGATGGTAGAACATTGCGTGTGAGCGAGCATTACGTCCCAAGGCGGGTATTCTTATTGAAAAGCTCTGGCGCGACAGTCTGATCGAGCACCTGTCGATGGCAGACTTCGGCTAGCTTTTTCCAATCCACCGAGGCATTCACCGGCTGCCGTTCGCCAAAGGCGATGCTTATTTGCGTAAATTGCAAGCAGTATTTGCGTGCGGGATGATCAATTCGTCGTTAAAAGAGCGGTTTTGCCATTTGGATTCTTCGGTAACGCGCTAATTGAGGCGTGTCACGTCTGAATATATTTTGAGAATTTATAAGAAAAACTAATAATTATATTATTCGCCCGTAATCTCTCTATTAGAAGATGTTGTTTAACTTCTACGAAACCAAGGATTAAGAATTCCGGAACACGGAGGTTCTCACAAATTGAAAAGTTTTTTAATCTCGAAGTTTAAGTATTCATGATCTCTCACCATCGAAATTCTCAAGATTCTTAATACACTCTTTCGAAACGGTTTATACAAAGATTTATAGCGAATATATAGATATATGTCGATTTCTATCATCGATCAGTTGTTGTCTGCATTGCGTCCGCGAGTGGTCGCGCGTTCTTTACCACGTCGGGCCATAAATTAACGTCCAACTCTACTCTAAGTTCGTTTCCTGTCTAATTTATACACCGTGGTGTTCGCGTTGCTGAAAAACAGGAGTGGAGTTGCGCTATTTGTCTCGCACATCTACTGCATTGTTTTATGAGACCGTGCAGTGTACTAAGGACAAGTATAACGAAAGCGACACGCGCTTTGTTGCGTTGTGAATTTACCTACCGGCAGGGTAGATTTATTTTCTTTATTTTTCGGGTTCACGGCGAAGTCAAGTAACTCCACGTCATTTTATAATTTCATCAGTGACTGAGCGTAGAACCGCTGTATAATGAAAAATGCCAGTTTCACGTTCTCGCGGTGTGCTTTATCGACTTTTATTAGCGTTTTAGAAACTCGCGGCATTATTAATCTCGCCATAATATCAAGTTCAACAGCTGTGAAAAGGAAATTCGACATGTAAAACATTTCAGTACCGTACCGCACTATTAACTATTTACCGTATTATTAATTTTAAACTGAGTGGGTGTAGTAACAAAAATATTGCTTCGTCTTACATTTCGTATAAGCGCACTTTAATTAAAAACATTCCTAATGGGTGGAATTAATATTTATCATACATTGTAAAATAATTAAATTAATTCAAAGTCCAATATAGAGGACATTCGCTTTTATCACTTTTACATCTCTTTTAAACTCCTTATTATCCTCTTTTGTTTATAATCTATTAATACGCGCTATGCGCGTCTTATTTAATTAATTACCATTACACAGGAAAAATCTCAATTTATGTGGTTAATTAAGCACCGGATTAAACTTCGTTGACGGGAAAATGATATTCGTTATTGTTAAAACGCATAATTTACACGTCGGATGACAGCCGCGAGTCGAAGTAAACAACGACTTGCATCGAGATCGAGATTTCGAGATATTTAATCGACTTTGCGACAAAGAGTTTTCAATGTGTTGATATTTAAAGCTATTTATAACACGCCTTTAAAAAAAAAAAGATATATACTTTTGTTTCTTAAAATACGTAGAATACTATTACATTCGCATATATTTATTTTGTTCTGACGTTCAATCGAATAATCAATTCATTCCGCTGACCAATTATTGTTGACCCTGATAATATTTTAGATCGATTTGTTGAACAAAAACATACGTGCCTTTAACCTTTTAAAACCCACGCATATTGAAATAAAATGTTGTAATTGTTTAAGAAAAAGTATCCGTCAAAAAATTGGCGTCTGTATTTATTTTGTCTGTTTAGCGCACCGATGAAATGAGAGGGATGCAAAAATAACAAAGGAAAAAAGAACATATATATATATATATATAATTTTTCGACGAAAGCTGGAAGATCGTCGCTCGTTACGATTTCCCTCCATTTTCAGAAATCTACCATTATTACGAAGCGATCAGAAGGAAGGTCTCCCGGGGCACATTTCCCAAAGATTCTTGTCGCTCTGAGCAGATCCGTTGGAGAGCGGAGAATCTTTTGTCGATTTTTGAGGTCACCGTCTTATCTCTTACGTTGTCTTCTCATTCCCTCTTCGCCGTATCGTCCTTCGGCTTTCCTCGCGGTCGATTAAATACCACGTCCTCAAAGAAAGTGTTTCGCATGAAGACATTCGACGGGGAAGAGTTACAGAGGAAGAGAGAGAGAGAGAGAGAGAGAGAGAGAGAGAGAGAGAGAGAGAGAGAATATGCCTTTCGCGACCTCCGAGCGGTCTGTTTCTACTTAATCGATTGACATTACGCGGGCGGATAACAGCGCGCTAACTTAATATCACGGGAAATTCTCGATGAAAAGAACGACAGCGGTTGGTTCGAAACTGTGAAACGCCGGAAATGAAATGCTTCTAATTGCACACGGGAGTCGCGTATTTTGCTTTTCACCGCGATTCGATCGCGATAATATTACGGCCGTTGGCGCTCTTACGTGCAGAATCTCTCGATTTTTCACCTCTTTTCACTCATTTCATTACGACAATGATCAGACAAGCATATACTGCAGTTGCAAGGAATGAGGAAATCTCGAG